AAAAAAAAAAAATGCCTTCTGAAGGCAAAATCTAACCTGGAGTGATTTAGGGGAGGTAAAGAGAATTTGGATGCATTTGCTCAAATAGAAAAGAACAGATAGGAAATCTAAACATTAGTTAGAAAACAGCCGCTTGGGTATTTTAACTCCAGATGGCACAGCTGTGTAATTACTCTCATGAAGCAGAATTTTCTGAGGATATATTCTGTAAGTGTGACATTAATTTTTCACTGAAGAGAGTTGGCATTTGATTGTACTCTTGCATATTTACATATATTTGCGCACACTTTTACAAATCTATATGAACAGGACACCATCAAGCTGGTCACTTACAATTGTCTGACTCTTGTCTAGTTTTACAGTGATATTTTACCATTCCTTTTAAAAGCTTTTCTATCCCATGTTACCACGTAAAAACACCAAAAGGACAGTGGGAAACTGATGGTCCACAAAGGGTCATCCTTGGAGTAAATAAATGGGAGTAATCTCTAATTTCTTTCAGTTGTAATAATACTTAGGGGGTGTTTGTTTCAAAGTAAGTAAGTTGTTTTCAGACTAACGTGATTTTTAAACCGCTGGTGTCCCTTGAAGGTGAATAATTTTTCTTGCACAATCTTTTGGCAAAAGGAAGATTAGCAGATTTTATTCTGTATATGCAGTGATAAGCTTAATTATAACTGTGTATTTTTACAGTTACTTGGGTTATATAGCTTTTATATAAATTGTCTATGGAAATAAAAGTATTTGTAATAGAGGAGAAATACAAGAGTATATATTTTTAATCATCAAGTATATTTTAATCCATTTATTGCAGCTTTTTGTTTTGTTCCATGATGTTTATAATATAAAATATTCAATACTATTTGCTTTTTAAAGTCCCTGCACATTCTGTCTGTGAAAGCATTTATTTTGATTATATTTATTTAAGTGGAAAAATTTTATCCTATCATTTATGGTTGTATTTAACTGGTTTCTGCACTGTGTAACTTGAAATTGTATTGAGCTCCCAGTAGTCAGACCCCTGTGCCTGCACTCAGACCCCTGTTACATAGTTGGATAACTAATTCCCTGATTAAGATTCTGATTCCACATGCATTTGTGTGTGTAAGTAGTCTCATTGCATTCAAATTATCTGCATGTATAAGAGGTGCAGGGTTATGGGTCTGAGTAATAATAATAATAAAATGTGTGAAATACTAGTTTGGTTAGGCATAATGTTAAGGGAAAAATACATCTTCAACTTGTGATTCATTTTTGTTTTTTCTCCTTTTCTTCATCAGCTTTTGCTTTAATTCAAAAGTTTTACTGTTATTTAGACGAATATTTAGATGTTCCATAAGAGCCTTTTTAGGTATTTAGTATAAGTTTGGAATGCTTCTTTCTTTTAAGATTTTATTTGTAAGCTTTCTTTATAGACTAATAATACTGAATTGTATTGGTAAAATAAACAACAAACTAGGGATCAGAAATCAGTTTTTACAGTTTGCTTAATGTTGGCAGTTTGTTTTTTATATCCTCAAGCACTGTATCAAATGCTTTCACATATACGTTTTCTCAGAAAAAAGCTACTGCCTGATTTCTATGCACTTTGTTATTTGCATTTACAGTGTATATTCTGTACTTGACATACATGTGAATAAAATATTTAGAAAACTTAGTAAGTTCCCCAGATGTTTAGAAGGTGGATTGTACATGCGACTTTCTAAGAGGCTGGGTCACTTCTCATTAAAGAAAGCTAAATTAGTATCTGTTATTGTCTATGGGTGGTTGTCACTCAGCAGAGCTGGAGATATGCCAAGTTGTTTTATATGGAGCCTATCACTGGGCCATGTGCTATTAAGTTTGATTTGCTCTGAGTAGGCTGCAGTGCTGTCTCTTTCTTTGCCATCTCTGAAATCCTTCATGGAAACGAGCTGTATCTGTAACCTTTCCTGCAAGAGGTTTTAGGCACAGGACCAGTGCTGATTCACAACATGTCTCAGGCTCCCCAAAAGCTTAAGCACACCTTTTTTACAGAGTTCTGGTTGTGCAGTCTGTCTGAGTTTACGGTCCAACTCTTCAGAGAACATGTGCTCATTTAAGCAAATGAACACAGTCTTCACATTTGGTAGAATGAGCAGTAAAAAAGACAGTTTATGAATGGCTTTGTTTCCATTTTCTCACAAGTGCTGCTTGGGCTTTGGTTGGACTCCTTTAAGGAATCCATGATCTCCCCTGTCGCACATGGCCCATTCTCCAAATCATGGCATCTTATCTTAGGCATTTTTCTACTTCTCCTACAGCTGTTCCTGCAGTGAGTTCCTCTGAATTCCCCTTTGTGATCTGCTGTTTAGGTCCATCCCCTCGCTTTCCCTCCTTTCTTCTGTTCCTCCCAAACTCAAGGTTCAAACTTAAAAAAAAAAAAATTTATTCTCAGCAGTAGCCACCTCTTTTAGAATCCTCCTAATAGAAGTTAAAAGGGAAATCATTGTTTGGTAGCCCTGTACAAGGTACCAAAATT